TATTTTACAATTAAAAAAAAAAAAAATAAATAAATAATGTAACATTAAATTGTTCTCTGTTTAATACAAATTCTTAACATTGGAAATCGATACTTGAAGTATCAATAATGCATTAAAACTATAAAAAACAATTAACAAAGTTTGCAGCCCATAACAGGCTATGTAATCGTGTTGTCCAGCATCGCTTCCTTCTTACCGTGCAGGTGGCGCTGTTTTAGAATACTGCACACAGCGAATAGCTTTGCACCAGTTAAGCGCGTGATTGAAAAAAAAACTCGATGGAGCGCAATTTTATGTACATAGCACGCGACTTTGAAGGGTTGCGGGAATGAAAAAAGCGGTGGCAGAGAGAAGGAAAAAAAAAAAAAAAAAAAAAATGGGTATGGAACGAGAACGGATGAGCAAGCGCAGTGCTCTCTTCGACCGGAAAATGCGCTCTCTCGTTTTTCATTGCTCCTCCAAGATCGCCTCGACGGCTCGGCTTTTTACGCGCGTCGCCGGTTTTTTCCTTTCTCCTCCTTCTCCTCCTCATACCCACTGGTGCTGTTATTGTTTCTGTTGTTGTGTATCTTCCGTGTCCGCAGGCAACTTTGCAAAGGACGGCGTGTATTGTTACCAGAAACACTGAGAGCTATGTATACAGGGGACACAGGTTAATGAGTCCCTTACCCCCTTGAATCGCCAGGACCCGACGGGTTAACTTTTGAAACGTGATATTGGAAAATTCATTCCCACCCTGCCCTAACTAAATCAGCCATAGAAATTCAAATTTTAAAGCCCAGCAGTGGAATACAAACCCAAGTATCCGAACGTTTAATTATTTTGAAAAAAAAAAAAGAAAAGAAATATGAAAATACGAAAAAAGGAGCGAGAGTCCCGTCGACGACAATTTACTTTTATTATAAAAGGAGAGGAGGAGGAGGAGGAGGGGTACGAAGGGTAATGGGAAAAGGTCTGAGAGGGTCCCGAAGGCACGGGAGCGGCGCCAATATGTGGGAAAGGGGTAATAGCGGCTCGTGGCGAGAAAGCAAAAGCAGGGAGTCAAAAGCACCGCATGTGCTCCCACACAAGTGAGTAAACGTACGGGGAACCTCCTGGGAGAAAATGCATACGCGAGTGTCTGGAATATGGGCCGTGGCTCTGCCACCGGTGGTGGTGGTGGTGGTGATATTACACGCCCGGCATCTTCGCGTACATACATCAACGGCGTGATTCTCATGCATGCTCCTGTCGCCGTGTGCTACGTTCACTACGTGACCCCGTATACGTGTACATATATTGTGTTTATGTGCATGCATTACAATGGCAGCAGACACAGCTGTGTACATGCACGGCACCTCGTGCTCCGTGCTCTGGGTTTGACCGAATGCGCGTGGATGCAATGCAACACAAGTGTCTTTATTAAAAAAAAAAAAGAGCTTTTACTCGGATTTTTTCCCAATACCTTTTATTAAAGTACACATTAATTTAGTGCGATAAGCAGTAGAGCATTTGACCAATGAGCGCACCATACGATCAACCAACGAGTGCACTCGAGCCTCCTAGCGAAACGTTACGGTGTATTTTAAGCGACGAGGGGCTCGTTCGTGCGCGCATATGTAAATTTAATTAACAAAATTAAGCGCAAACCCACACGCGAGCGAAATTAAACGTACGGCTTGCCCCACCTCCGTCAATTGTTAACCCAGAGGATACACTTCATTAGGTATATATGTATACATATATGTACACGTAAGGAGGACAAGCGCTCCTCGCGGTGGCGACGCAACATCAACAGCGTCAGGAGCGATTCGGCGCTGTTTGAGCTCCACCGAAGCGCGAGGGTGGCACACATGCCCCTCGCTGCGCGCAATTTATCGCGCTATTGTTTGGACACGTGTCGCACTTATGCAGAACTAGCTCGTCGTGTGTGAGTGTGTACTCCTGCGCACCGCCCCGAGAGTTTGAAACAGCACAACTTTTGGGCGACGCATTATGCGCTCGCGCGTCCCGTGTGCGTACACGAGGCGGAAAGATGGGTGGAGGGGGGGGGGGGCAAGAAAAGTGGCGGAAAAGCCAGGGTGTGAACTTTCGGGAGGTGCTTTTCAAGGCATACTTTGGCCGATAAACCGCTAGGCTTCGCGTGAAACGCGTTGGTCCGTGTTTAATGGATATGTACAATCGCTGACCCGTTGTTCCTGGCGACCTATCTGTTATTAATGACTCGTCCTCCGGTCGAATGGAAATTTTTCAGAGTTTCAGCATCCTCCTTTTCAACCAAGCCCATCGTAACGCAGCGCAGGTCTGATAAAACAGGAGGAACAAAGGAGAAATCGCACCATCGAGTTTATGCAGTTTTGCTGCATTTTTTTTTTTTTCTTTTTCTTTGTCACGTGAATTTGCGTAAAAAGAAAGACTCAAAGCCTTGTTCCCGGTCGGACGAAAAGTAGATGGAAACTTTGCTGCCAGAGAATGCCTCGTCGGCTCCTGAATGAGTTCCCTTCCGTTGAAAGGCCGTCGGTTTGCTCCTCGATCGGGAAAAGTGCAAACTTGCCACCGCTGCTGTTCGGACGATCGGATGCTCTGGAATTTTATTTGTACAGAACAACCCAGTAGTTCTGGGAGATACTTTTTTTTTCCGATTGTGCAAACTCGCCGGCCGAGGCTGAGAGGATGACTCGGGCGGAGACGCGGTGAGGCGAGATGAGATAAAAGAAAAAGTAAGGGCGGACGTCTGAATAAATTTGACGTATCGCTGGTGGGACTTGAAATTCGTTGACAATATGACCTCGTTACTTAAATTCCATACTTTTGTTTGGTCCTTTTTTTTGTGGTGCTTTTAAGGATGTCTGACCAAAACGGTGTATCACTACGGATAATAGTCTCTCTTGAGTAAAAAAATAGTCCGACAGAGGTGATTGTCACTACTCTTTCGGTAAATTTACACGTCAACCGAAGATTACATTTTATTTGTTTGAAATGAAATAAACAAAAGCGAAATATGAATAGATGATTTGCTGTTTGTCGCGATGAGCTCGATTTCTCCGACTCTTTGAAAGAAACGGATCCAAAATTAAAACGTAAAGACACTTGGGGTCCGGGAACGCGGCGCGCGATTTTAGAAACGAGGTCTTAGCGCCGCCAAGTGGTACTCGAGAAGCGCGTTGCAGGGCCGTACACAAGCCCCAGCTGTAATATGAAGCTCGTGTGAAAGCGAGAGCCCCGCCACAAGAGCCGGTGACCGCAATAAGCCGGCGCATCGCATTGGTTCCGAGCCAGAGACCCTTACCACCCCCCACCACCCGATGTTCTCGAGGCCACGCAGCAGTCGAGATATTTAATTTTGCGCTCATGGCCCGCGGCTCACCGCAAAACTAGAAACACCGCCAGCGTCCTTTCACGTCCTATTGAGCGCGATGGCTAAAGTGCGCGGCTATGAATGCGTGCGCTCTTTGAAATATATCGAGCTCCGTGCGAGTGTCGAGAACTGTTAGTTCCTCCCTCGCCAAGTGAATTTCATTTCAATGAGGACAACTTGAGTATTTTTTTTCTCCCTCCGAGGAATCAACGAATTAAAAAACGAGTCTCTTTTTTTAACTTGACCACCCGTTGATTCTCGATTGTTCGCATCCAATTTGATTGCTCGAAAAAACCTGTGGAATTTCCATTGGATTTGAATAATGTTTTTCAAATGAGGCGAGGATAACATTAGCGTTTAATCGCTTTAATAAAACTCAAGAGAAGATAAAGGGGATGGGGTGCTTTCGAAATACCGGTGATGCGCTAAATGGATTTTTAAATTGGTCGTAGCTAGCGTGCGTTCCGAATGGTACTTGGTGAATCAACGCGTGGTAAATTAGTGCGCGTGGCGGAAAATGGTAATCGGATCTAAAGAACAAACAAATAAAAAAAAAAGTAAGAGAGGGCGACTACTCGAATTTGAAAAGCAGAGTGCACTGCGCATAATATACGGTGGGGTTTAAAGTCCGAGGGATGGGTAGGCGTGGTTCTCTCTATCTTTCTTTCTGTCTGTCTCTCTTTTCTCTCATTCATGCATCTCTTATGCTCTTGACATATAATACCACTCTGCTTTCTAAATTTAGAGGAGAGAAAAATAAATGTTTCATCATACTTCATGTCCTCTCATGATTAATTAAATAGATTGTGTTTTGTTGAAAAATTTTTCAAAAACTTTATTTGTAGTTAAAACTATCATAAAATACACTCTACTAATCTAATCATTTATTGTATTAATTATTTGCAAATTGTAAACGTACAAGTCAAGTCTTACTTTCCTGAGTTTCATATGTACTCCCTGCTAAACTAAAAGCCATTTATTCCGTTTTCATTGTATTTGTTTAAAACTGGGGTATTAACGTTTATTTGATCTCTTTGGTTTTATTTCCTCATCTCTCGATTGTGTTTTTTATGTATGATTTTTTCACACGAAAAATTCACAAATATTTGCAGTCCAACAATAGTAGGTCTGACCATAATTGAACTGTACTACTCGAATGCAATCAACATACAGAAAATTAAATAAAATTTTAAATAACTACTTACTCGGTCTATTATTAGTGTGTAATGTAAAATAGTGTAAAAAATTACATAAAAACTACAATATAAATTTAGACCAGACAGACTGTAATCAAGTTATATTAGTTGAAATTTAAATAAAAACGGAGGAAATAAAAAAAAAGAAAAACTAACCAGTCTTTATTTATTTCACGTATAAAAATATATATCTGAGGCAACAAATTAAAGCTATAGGACGATTAATGCAATGTCTAACTATAATCGATCCATACGACTTACAACGAAAACTAGTGTTGTATTGTAACAGTTAGGTCACAATTGGCCCCTTGCCTGGCTATAGTCGAGCTATACTACTTGTAAGACCAATCGAACTTTGTGTAATGAAATATAATGGCGTATCGCAATAACAGTTAAAAATATTCGTAACTAATCTTGGTAGTAAAAATAAAAGGTAAATTTTTAATTAAAAAAAAAAAATGTTACAGTGCCGAGGGTGGAAATAGTGGACGAGCACGGGGCCAAAACAGCCGGTGACAAGTTTTACAAAGCCGGCAGCACGATTGAGCTCAAGTGCGTGATAAGCAAAGTAGCCAGTCCCCAGAACAACAACGTACTGTGGATCCATGGCACTCGGACTCTCAACTACGACACAGTTCGAGGCGGTATAAGGTAAGCGCCGCTTTCTTCACCCTCCACGTGTAATTGTATACATGGCAGCAGTTTCCACTTCCCTGTGATGCAGTTATTCGTTGAACGGGTGCGGGTGAAACCGCAGAAGCGGCCCAACTCTGCAGTATACTGTTACAGAGAGCACCCATGGGATGGCTTTCGTAAACTTGATTCAGCGGTGGATTAGCAGAAAATCTCGGCGACACGGCGATCGGGTTGCTTTTGTTGCCGTCTATTCCCGAAACGTCATTGTTTCAGAAATATACTCGATCATTTTACCACGAATACTTTTACTCCAACCAAATGGTGGGTATGGGTATATTGCGTAACTTGTGGGTTAGCTTCTGTAATTTCTCAACGAGCGGATGTAGGAGCCCTGATTTACTTGTACTTCAAAAGCAGATAAGCTTATATCTTGGTATTGGCGAGCGAACAAGGCAGAAATTCCAGTTTTGCTTTATGGCCATTGTGCTGTGGTTGTTCTTTGTTTTTAGCTTGGTCTAGCTCATCTAGCTCTTTGGTGTAGTTCTTATTTTTAAGTCGAAAAAAGATGTGGTAGAAGAAACGGAAACATGGCAATTCTACTTTTTTCGTTGTTCCTTTGTCAGTGTTTTTTATAATGTTTGCTCGGAAAGTAAATTGAATCGCTAGAAAAAAGCTGTAATTTGAGTTTTGGTGGAGTTGAAAATTACGGAAAATTTAAGTTTAGGTAGCAAAAAACTATGAATCCATCAATTATCGAGTAAACTACGAAACTTTCAACTTTTTTTACATGACTGGAGCTCTACCTAAAACTTGTTACGAGTGTTTTCGATTAATTATAGTTTCAATATAAGCATTTACAATTGAAATTATTATGTCGTGGGAAAAATCAACTCTCACGCCTTCAATTTTGGATTCCCTATATCTTTCGATTTTCCATCGACTTCGATTCCCAGTCAGAAAACTACCAAGAGAGCGAGTGTATACATACACGTACACATATCTACGAGCAATTTCGCGCAGAAGAGCAGCCGATGGTCCGCACGTGGGTGTCGGTCCAGAGTGACTGGACGGGAATTCTAATTGAGCCGATAAAGAATGGCGCGTCCACTGAATTTTGAAAGCTTTTCATTAAACTTGCGGACCACGGCCCTTCTCAGCCGAAGACGTTGACGGGCTTGCACACCACCACCAGCGCGTTTGACCTAATTGGTTATACATTCGAATTCATGAATTTAAAGTACCCGCCATCGGCGATCCTACCTTTTATTATCTCTTGGCTCATTTTTCTTCCTCTTCCGAAGGCTGCCGAGCTTATTTTTCAAGGGCCCCCCAGGTACACACACGCAAAAACTCCCAATCGCTTTCGTCCGTATCGAATATACCTCTATACTACACGTAACTGTCATGTTCTTCCTTGAGTTTGTGTCACGACTGAAAGAATATATTTGTGAGTCCATCATTTTTACACTTGCAAATTTTTGCCCTGCTAAACCTCACGGAGTTAAATTAGTCAAATTCAAAGACTCAATCACGTCTCCAGTAAATGTTGACAATTTCTATCAACTTGCGCTCTCCTAGGGAGAAAAAAAAATCCATCACATAACATGCACTCCAACGCCCCAACTCGGTAGAGATCGTACAGTAGCGGCAGCTGGTTGGCTGCGGTATCTCGGTCAAGAAAATTGGGGAGCAAGCATACGCGGAACTGGATCGACCAAGTTAGTTAGAAGCGTAACGTTATTAAGACCCCCCTCTCTCTCTCTCTCTCTCATGTAGTGCCTGTACTAGGGCATTATACGCCTGCCATCGCCCCGTCCTCCGTTTCGTGTCCTTCTCATGTGCAGATTTCCCCTGCCTCTTGGTCGCCCCAGGCCGATACGCGAGTTCGTCAAGTTGCCGGGAAGGAGCGAGCTTTCGCGCATTTAATTCTCGAGTTTTGCTGCACGTGGGAACATTGCGAACGAGCCAAGTGAGGCTTTCTTCGTAAAAAATTTAATTTCCAGGGGTCCAATTTAGATGTGACTGTCAACTGATCTGCTGAGGGAATGGAGCTTCTTATTTTTTTTTTGTGGCGGCACGATTTATCGGAGATCGAAATTAGATCCCTGTATGGAATAACAATAACAATATGATCGTCTGCATCACAAGCTACCACGCAGGGACAAAAAGAAACCAATCAAGGGAAGGTGAAGCCTGTGAGCTCCGACTCGGATCCCCAATTCCGTAGATCCAAATTGGCGAAATCGCTGGCAAATTTTGTGCCTTTGCAACTTCTCCGTTAAGTTTTCGAGAAGCAGGGGTATATGTTGGGGAAGGGGACAAACAAACGCTACTTGGTAATCTCGTAATGGATGATTCGCGATTAGCTCGCGGGAGTAGCGTATAAATTCTCGGGGCGCTCTGATTTATCGCGTTCCGCGTACGTGTTGGGGAGACACATGCATGGCCTACTCGAACTTGGTCGATGTTTCTTCACGCTGAGCAAACATCAAGGCGACGTAACAGCGTATCCAACGTATAGACGCGTAGCTGCTTTGACGAAAAAAATGGGGCAAAGTCACGCTGAACGCGTATCAGTGTGTCCTACTTCCATCTAATTGGGTTAACCTTGACTAAGTACAGAACCAACGGAAATTTCGTTAACGAAGTAAGCACCGTGTCAGTCGCGACTATTCATAACCAAAGTTGGCTAAACAGGTCGGATCAGTTTCAATTAATTCAAAGCTCTACTTGGACTAATGGGGCCAGCTGGCTTATCCACTGTGAGCGTCTTGGTTGTTTGTTTTTACCCTGCGTTTCGCAGTGTTTTCAATACCATGTTGTAACGCAATGCAAACCAAAAGTACCTTTGGGACAAAAAATTTCGTCCCTTCCAATAGACAGTATGGCTCTCCCTTTAGCTGAACTTGGATATTTACATCCGCGTCCGAGGGGAGTCTAATTGTCTGTTGCAAACGCGCGCCCATCCGTTACAAGTAGCTACTTAACAGCCAAGCGCGAGCGAAATAGCCGGAACACGGGGATAACGGGCGATTATTTTCACCCCTCCTGGTGTATGCATTTTGCTCTCTCGAGAGCCCTGCGCTTTTTTCATTCGTTTCGTTCTCCATTATTGCACCCCCCAACCCTTTACATGGCGATTGATCGCTGCTGATGCGATTTGCATCGACGACGACGCGCGGCCACTTTTTTTTTTTTCATCCAATTTTCACTACCACAAGGGGAGGAGGGTATCGGCGAGTGATTAAGCAGCTGAACCGAGCCCTGGGAAATGGGTTCCAAAAGAGTATCGGCCGTATACGGTTTTGTTGACGTAAAATTTTAAATGCCCACTCAAGCGCTACGAAAGGGGTTGATGCGCTGGTCATCGATGCGATCAGTGACATCTGCTCTGGAAAAGGGCATTTATGAAATGAATGACGTTGCATATGCTGGATTGAAAGAGGAGGGGTTTATTTTACAAATTTTACGTAGCATGTTTGATAATTTTTTTTTTTTCTTATTTTTTACCATTTACTTAATTCTTGGAAAAGATTGAAAACTTGTGGACGACCGATGCTTATGTACGATAGAAAAATAAAATATTACGACGTCATGAGCAACCTTTGTGTAATTTTGAATGTAAAAGGTATTTAAAAATAACTACAATACTTATATATCGGTGACTTATTTTGTTTTCCCAAACCGTACGGCTTAGTCGGAAATTTCTCAAAACTTTTATCTAAAAATTGTAAGGTATCCACAATTTCGGGCATATTTCCTGGGGTTTAAATCAGCACGCGTCGACGAGTCCGCTTGTTCGTGTCGAGCAGTGACGGCCGATCAATTTCAGAGAAAACGGGAGGGTAATAAATAAATAAATAAACGATTAGCGGGGATGTGCCAAACACACGCAGGGACGAGCCAGGACGATGACGGCTACACATTTGTCGATGAATTTTTGGTTTCGCGCATCGGCCCTGTCCTGTCGAGCCTCCCTGCTGTCACTGCCACATTTTCTTCTTGCTGTGCTGACACTTGCCTCGGTACCGGTCAATAAATGATGTTTTTCCGGCCAAAAGCAAGAATACTTGTACAAAAGTTTCATACATTAAAGTGGCTCGCGTACACGGGCTTCCCGTACAGGCGAAGCCACTATGTTCTCTCCAGGAAGATACGGTAGTAGCGCGAAGTGGCTGCGCATATAAATCTCCGCGGTTGCCCAAGAGTGAGAGAACCAGTGTACCCGGCTAGTGAAATGTGGGAGCTTGCAAAAACGAAGGGGGGGGGAGGAGGTGGGTACAGGCGCAGAAAAAAAGGCCGCGGGAGCATCCGTGGAAAATCAATCGCGTGGAGTGAGCAGGCTCTGTTGGAAAAACAAAGCCATTAATCTGATATTGCTCCATCGGGTGGCTGGGGATGGAATATTTTACAGCTGCGGAGGAGAGAGATCATCGCCAGCCTAGCTCGAGGCCTCGATAACCAGGGCCAAGCCTGTGCGTCGCGTCTATCAGCTTTGGACGCCCGCGTGCTAGGGTAGCCGGGGCGTGCACAATGCAGGCTCTTCAGCCCTTTGCTTCGCACCAGCGTCGTTTGAGATTACAAAGTCGATATCCGCGCTGGTCTGTTTTGATGGGCTGCTGTTGTGCTCTTGCGTATCTGCATGCCATTTTGTTTCCATACGTGTTTTTTACCTGTTTTACTTTTATTTTCGATCATTAACATCTCTGCTCGCTGTTCCCAAATTTATCTGGCTGAGTAGTTATTTTATTTTATTTCATTTATTTTTTTTTTGCTTTTTTTCATACTGTCCAGTGGCTGTTCCTCAATTCATCCGTTTTACGAAAATACTCATTTCAACGTTACTTTTTTATCTTGTTTATGACTCAAGAAGTTTCCAAGCTTTAGAGTCTGGCAGCTTTGGGCTCACCACCAGAGACGGGAAAATGACGGCGCCACAAATGCATGCATATAACGTAGATTTTCCAAAATTTTTTTTGTAGGTGCATGTTTGCTTTTGTTGAAGTTCATGCTAG